CCCCACCCCCACCCCGCTTCCGCCTCTCTCCTGGTCCTCTCTGCTGCTCCCTCCGCAGTGCTCTCTAGCGTTGGCTCTACTTACTGTGTCATGAGGTGTGCATATAACCTCAAATAGTCCTCAACTACCAGCTCTTCAGTCATAGCTGTTTAAGGGACTCATTCTTCTGCACAGCCCTCACCTGTCCCCAGAAGCCAAGGCCTCACTAAAACCTGCTTGGGAATGGCTTCATTGGAGACCCTGGCTCTTCCAGGCCATACCCACATCTGTGTCTGCTCCCTACAAGGTCGCCTCCATTCTGCAACCTTCAGATGCTACCTGCTGCATGGCAGCCCTTTACTCAACTTGAACTCAGGCCTTGTCCTGACAGCAGTCCTATGACCTTGATCCTAGTCCCGTTAGATGTTTGTGATGAAGCTGGTCCCTCCCACCAGGGTCAGTCTGTACTCACCAGCATTCGTCTGCTTTCAGGTCGTTGGCATGGAATGGAGGCTAAGGAGATACCTTTTCAGCAGAGCGTTTCTGTAACACTGTCACAGGTCAGGACTCCTAAGGCAGACTCTTCTACCCAGAAGGCCCAGCCCTCTCAGACATGTGGCCTGGTCTTAAAAGACATTTTGCTCTTGGCTGAGCACCAGGGAACACACTCTGGGCAGAAACCACACACATTTGGGGCATGTGGGACACAATTCTGTTTCAGTTCAAACCTTCACCACCAGAAGCAGCGCAATGGAGAGAAACCCTGTAGAAGGGAGGACAGGGCCTTTCTTGTGAATAGCTTCCCTGTCCAACCATTAGAGATGCCCTTTATGACAGGGGACAGTTGTAAGGACTTCCCAACTAGCTCGAGTATCTTCCAGCACCATTGCCCACCCAGGAAGTGGATGCCACACAGAAACGCCAAGTGTGTGGAGGCCTTTCAAAGTGGACAAAGACATTACGAGTGCAGCGAATGTGGGAAGGCCTTCAGTCGCAAAGACTCACTTGTCCAGCACCAGAGAGTCCACACTGGAGAGAGGCCTTATGAGTGCAGCGAATGTGGGAAAGCCTTCAGCCGCAAACCCATACTTGCTCAGCATCAGAGAATCCATACTGGTGAAATGCCTTATGAGTGTGGCATATGTGGGAAAGTTTTTAATCATAGCTCCAACCTAATTGTACACCAGAGAGTCCACACTGGAGCAAGGCCTTACAAGTGCAGTGAATGTGGGAAAGCCTACAGCCACAAATCCACACTTGTTCAGCACGAGAGTGTCCACACTGGAGAAAGACCTTACGAGTGCAGTGAATGTGGAAAATATTTTGGTCACAAATACAGACTCATTAAACATTGGAGTGTTCACACTGGGGCAAGGCCTTATGAGTGCATTGCATGTGGGAAGTTCTTTAGCCAAAGCTCTGACCTCATTGCACACCAGAGAGTTCACAATGGTGAAAAGCCCTATGTGTGCAGTGAGTGTGGGAAAGCCTTTAGCCACAAACATGTGCTTATCCAGCACCACAGAATCCACACTGGAGAAAGGCCATATAAGTGCAGTGAATGTGGGAAGGCCTTCAGGCAGAGGGCTTCCCTCATCCGGCATTGGAAAGTTCACGCTGGAGAAAGGCCTTAAGATAGCAGGGGTGTGTTGTCTCCTCATTCAACATAATGGCTGGCACCAGAGAAATTCTGAGAGTAGCCTTCGTGATGAGTGCCAGCTATGTGGGGAGCTTTTTGGAGCAATATTGCAATTTGTAACCTACCCAGGACCCTTGCCAGAATTCTCACTACCAGTGTCTCTGAAAGAAGCCATCCATCTATTCGTGTCAGGGCCGTAAGTCACCACAACATGCTTTCATAGGCATGCCTCTGCCCCATTCCTAAGAGGGACTCATCAATCGCCTAAGCCCACTGAAGATGCTCATTCTCTAGCCTCACCCTCCACAGCTGGTTTAAGCACGGACATGACCAGTTTGGGTGGGGAGGATGCAACGCTTGCTCCATGGGCCACTTGCAGGTTTCCATTTTTCATGGACTGTGTTGCACTTACAGATTTCTCCAGCCACCAAGTTACCTAACTTGGGAATTGCCTGCGTCCTATTTTCTGGTTTTGCAACAAACACCTTAGTTTTTAAGCTACTTTTTACCTTGGGGATTCTATTCACTATGGATTGGGTTGAGAACAACTGCCATTACAAAGGGCTGAATGGCTTTTGTGAGTGCTCCAACTGTCATGCCTTGGTGGTGGTAGAATGGCTGGCAAAGAGCAGCTTAATTCTACTTTCAGTCTGACCTGCATTGTTGCTCAAGGCCTCCTAGGAAAGAATATGGACCTTTGACCAGAATCACCCTGAGAGCAGTGGGCATTTGTTGTGTGACCCCTTCTGATGTATCTGGTAGCAGCACCAATGGGGTTCCTTGTTCCCATGGATGTTTCATACTCCCCAGACCTCTTGAGGAGAGCTTAACCCCTCTGGGACCTGCCAACATCCCTAAAATCTATTATTTGTCAGGTGGATATCACTCCCCTACAAGGACCAGGTAGGAATCATGAGTGGTACAGTGACACTTTCTAATAGGGATTTGGGAGACTGTAGCAAACTGGAGTGTGAATCTTTGAAAGGTCTGTCCACAAATGTATGAGGGTTTACAGAAATGCTCAGGACTCCTCTATGTCTGTCTGTGGCTACAGTCACTGTCACAACAATAAGTCTAAGCATTTTCTGCAATAAACACATTTATTGAGTACAACTTAACAAGTTTCAGTACATGTTTGCACTATGAAACCAAGTTTCCTGAGTGACTGTGCTCCCCCACCTCCTCACCCATTCCCAAGCAGCCATTCATCTTGCTTTTTGTCACTATAGATTTGTTTGCATTTCCTAGAATTTTTTACATATGTATGCAAGATGATTTAATATGTACTCATTTGTCTGGCATCTTTAACTGAATTGTTTTGTGATCATTCTGTGTATCACTAGTTCATTCCTTTTCATCAGTCCATTTGCTGAAAGTATTCCTTTTAGAGAAACAGTTCTAAAGAAAGTGATCGTCACTATTACAACCTTAATCTGAAAGTGATGGGCCATTATTTCTGACTTATTCCCAAAACATAGACTAATCCTGGTCCACAACGGAAGAGACTCCACAGCAGTGTGAATACAGGAAGGCGGGGATTTGTGGGAGGGTGTCTTGGACCCTAGGGGCTGCAATCTTAGTTGTTTTTCTATTATACTTGTTTACTTTTTTAGTCTTTGATGAATTACATTGACTAATTTCCAAAAGGGAAACCAACCTTGCCTCTTTGAGGTAATACCCCTTGCATTTTATTTGCTGTATTTTTTCTTATTAAAGATTTTTGTACCTGTGGAATATGGAGCTCTAATTTTCTTTAATTTCTGGGTTTGGTTGGTATCCTCATTGTGCTGGCTTTATAGGTTAAGTATTCCCTCCACTTCTGTTTCCTGGAAGAGATCATTAGGAATTGGTATACTTTCTTCATGTTCCATGGAATTCACTAGTGAAGTGTATGGGCCTGGAGTTTATTTTATGGAAAGGTTTCTAACCACAAATTAAATTTCCATAGTGGATATAGATCTTCAGAAGTTATTTTTTTTCTCTAGCATGAACTCTGGCAGTGTGTGTCATTCAGGGTGGCTGTTCATTAATTTAAGTAGATTTTTCAAACTTCTTATTTTAGTACCTGTAGAATCTGTAGTGATGCCATCTCCCTTGTTCCTGATACTGATAATGCCTATATGTCTCTTTTTTTTTTGATCAGTTTTCTTGAACAGAAGTTTATCAATTTTGTTGATCTTACAGTACTTGGTGTCACTGATTTTTCTGTATCTTTTTTTTTTCAATTTATCCTATCATTGCCCTTTGCTTTTCTTGGATTTCATGTCTCTTGCTACTCTTAATGTGGAAGCTGAGATCCCCTGAAATCTTTGTTTTTTGCCAAATGTAGTTGTTTAATACTAAAAATTATCCTGTAAGAACTGCTTTAGTTGCTTCCCACAAAACTTGATATTTTGTGTTTTCACTTTAGTTAAGTTTAAAATCTTTTCCAGTTTCCTTTTGAGTTTTTCCTTTGAGACATGGCTCTCTTTAGAAGTGTATCTTTTCAAATACTTTGGGTTTTCCTTATGTTTCTGGTAATTGCTTTCTACTTCCATTGTAGTTGGAGTACATTATGACTTGAACTATTTACATGTATTGAGACCTGCTTTATGGCCCTGACTAAGGGCTATCTCATGTTTCATGCTGACTTGAGAGTGTATATTGTATTGTTTGGTGGAGGGCCTAAAAATCAACTATGTTAAAACAGTTGATAATGTCTATTTCTGTATCCTTACTTATTTTTTTTGGTGGGGGCTCTATCAACTATTTCAGGAGAATTGTTACATCTCTGAATTAAAACTGTAGTTGCCTATTTCTCTGTGTAGTTTTTCTTAATGACTCTCTTCATCTGTAGTAATATTCTTTGCTCCAAATAATCTACCTTGTCTGATACTGTTAACATGGTGAGCACTTAATTTTGCTTTTCTGAGTATGCAGAAATACTTGCATTTCTGTAGATACTCATGATTTTTTTTCTGTTACATGGCTAAGGTCCTTGGAAGCAATATGATCTTTTGGCATCTTGATTCTAAACATTTGTAGATGGAATTATTGCAGCCTTCATTTGAAGGCTAATTTCCCTCCCACTACTGAGACCCAACCATTCAGTGTTTGCCAACTGATGCCTCGTGAGATTTCTCACTTAAGCTGACTGGAACAGGAACTCTTCCCTTCTCCATATTCGCCTTGAATTATTGCTGTCTAATCCTTTTTTTTTTTAAACCCAGCCCCTGGTGACTTCTACATAGCACTAGAGGATGACCCTCGGTATATCTCTGAAGGGTTCTTTCTCCTGTACCGAGCTCTGTGGTCACTGGCCACTGTGGCAGGTGCAGGCTCCAAGGTGTCTCCATGATTCGGGGTGTCTTTGCACTCACCATCCTTGCATTAGGGCCTGGGAATTTCTTTGCACGGTACCCTGGGACAGCCATGTGGCTCACATCATTTGTTTGCTTTCTCTCAGGTCACTGTGTGCCTGAAGTCCAGTGTGTTGAGAATCAGTTTCATATAATTTTAAATTTTTTTCAAGAAATCTGTGAATCCTCTAAAGCAGAAACCTTGAGTAAATTAGGAAAATTGATATCTCCTACCACATCAGAAAAGACAGAGAAGACAAATCACCTATTATAAATATGAGCAAGGTAAGAGGATATAGCACTAGATACATCTAAAACATACAGTAATGTGTGATTATTTTAAACAACTCCCAATAAATGGAAATTTGGAGGACAAAGGTTCACTGAAAGTTCCAACTAACCAGGTTCACTTAAGAAGAAATAATCTAAAAAGTCCTTTGTCCAATAAAAACATTTAATTAGTATTTTTAGCACTAGTAGTGTTAATCTGCATATTAATGTAAAAAGCCTCACTAAAAACTTTAGGCAAAGGTGGCTTCACTAATGAATCCTACCATATACTTAAGAAATAATGAAGTATCTGTCAGGCTCTTCCAAAAACTAATAACATATAGAACACTTCCCAACTAATTTTATGAAGCCAATATTGCCCTGATAGCAGAACTGGGTAGTGATATTAAAAGAAGTTTAAAGACCAATATGAGCATGGAAGCAAAAAAAATCCTTAACAAAATTGTAGGAAATTAAATCTAGCTACACACACACGCACACACTATAGATGCACATTTAATGTTTTCAGTTGTTAAGCCAATCAGGAATGTAAGATTGAACAATTGAAATGTATTAATTTAATGCATGTTAAATAGAAGATACAGTATAATAAAGAAATATCTGCCTTTTGAACCATGTTCCTGATGCAGATCTTTAAAAATCTTGGAATTCCTGGAGTGATAGGAGACTGTATTATGCTAATAAGGCACCCATGATGGGCTCCTGTAAAGCTTCAGGGTGGGAACTGGTCATCAGAAAGACCATATGACTAGAAATTTGAAGCAGCCAGACAGACCTGCTGGGAGGGAAGGGGGGCTAGAGGCCAAGTTCAGTCATGTGGCCGTGAACTAATCAATCATGCCTGTGCAATGAGACGTCGATCAAAGTTCTTGGCACCAAAGCATGGTGGAGCTGCCTGGCTGGTGAACACGCTGATGTGCAGGAGGCCCGGGTGACCTGACTCCCTTGGGGAGGTCCTGGGTGCTCCACATCAGGACTGTCCCGGCCCTTACCCCACACATCCTTTTCATTCGGCTGTTCCTGAGTTGTATTCTTTATAACTAAACGACTTGTAGGCATACCACTTTCAGTGAGTCCTGTGAGTCATTCTAGCAAATTATTGAACCTGAAGGTATCACGAACTTCTCCCCCGTTTTCCCGAGTCCCGGCCCGAAATCGCCGGCCTGGGCTTGTGGAGGCCCACATAGGATGCGCGGGGCCTGGCCGCGGTCCCTCGTGGGCACCGTCCTCTACGGAATTTTCTCTGTCCCAACAGCGAACCGCGCTGCGGCAGGGGAGGAGTCCGCACCGGCCCCGCCGTCTGTGGGGCCCCTGGACGCCCAGCAGCCTGGGGGGCGGGCCGAGGCCCCTCCGTGGAACTCCTGCCGGGGGCTGACGTGGGCGTCCAGCGCCGCCTGGAGAGGGGGCGCCTCCGCGGGAGTATTTCCAAGCTCCGATTTGGACACACAGCTGACCGGTCCCGCCCGCCCTCCGGCAGACGGCGTCCTCGGGCCGCTTCAACGCCTGCGGCTCCCGGGTGGACCGGCCTGCCCAGGAGCTCCAGGGCTGACGGAGATGGCGCGGCACGGGGGCTGGGGGGCTGGGCAGCGGTCCCAGGAGGCCGTCGTGACCCGTCGGCCTTACCAGGCCGCGGGAGCAGCGTTTTGTTTCGCCTTTAGTTAACATTTTTTGCAGCCGAGTAGGCAGCCGACAGACTCCCCGGAGGTCAGCGGAGGAGGTGGGATCCTTACACTCGCAATCGAGCGCTGGGGTCGGTCGCGACGGGACGCCCGGCTGCTTGTCTCCGGCCTGAGGGCCGCCGGGGCCTGCGCCGGCCCTCCTGCGCCTGGGCGACCGGGGCGGAGTCTCCAGCACCGTGGGCCGGTCGCCCGCCCCGAGCACTGCCCGCAGGCGCCCAGGCGCGCCGAGGAGCCCCCTACTGACTGCCGGCACGCAGGTGTCTTCTCGGGGCTGCCGGCTGCGCCTCCCGCAGAACGGAGACGGGCTGCGCCCGCGGGCTTTCCGGTGGCCGCTCTCTCCGGACTGCCCTTAGGGTCTCCGGAGCCGGGTAGCGGGATCGCGCCCCCAAGGTCCGGCCCCGGCTCCGCGGGTCGAGCCACGGGCGTTCCCCTGGCTCTGCCCGCATCCTGACCCTTCCCTCTGGCGGCACGGCTGCGGGACCCGGCCGTCCTGGCTCTGCCAGCCTCGGCCTCACGGCGCTGGCCGGCCGGGGCCTCGGGCACTGCAGGTCCTTGTCCGTTTCTCTCTTGCCCCGTGAGCCGCTCTCCGCAGGGGAGTGGCGTCTCTCCGCGCTGCAGCCGCTTGGTCTTCCGTGCGACCCCCGAGTGCCTGAGGCCAAGCGCGGCGGCGTCCCGATTCCTGGCAGCCCTCCCGTCCCTGACGCGTGGGAGTCGCCCCCTCTTCCAGCTGCGCACAGTGTGTCCGGCGGGCGCGCCCTGCACGGTGGGCCGTGGGACAAGTCAGACACCAGGCGCTAGCGTCTTTGGAAACTGCCGCGCGGCGTGGACGCGTGAGGGGACAAGTCGTAAGAATGCGAAGCTGCTCTGCAAACCGACGCGTCCAGCGTGGGGCACAGGTCCCAGCCCGAGGGCGAGCACCCGTCGGGGCGCTGGGTTGGGTAGACGCGCCCTCCGTAAAGTGACGTCCCTAGTGCGCCCAGTGGACGGACTCCAAAGTGCAGGTCGCGCACCGCAGCCATGGGTGCGGCTCCCACCCACCGCGTGCAAGCACGTTTTCCTCCCGGTTCGCAGGGTCTTCGGCTCCGCGGTGGGCCGGGCACCATTATTTGCCCGCCGGGTTCCCCTTTGCTCCTTGGGCGGGGGAGGAGCGCTACAGGGCCGACTTTTCCGACTCCTACCAAGGAGCCCGTTTCAAGCCCCATGCCGTGTGCGGCCCTCCGACAGCTCGCGCCCCGGACACCAGCGGGGGCGCACGCGTCGGGCCGCCTCCGGAACGCTCCAGGGACGTGGCTCAGAGCGCCCTGGAAGGATGAGTGGTTGGACCCCACGGCGGGGATCTTGTGGGGTTCCTGGGGAGGGGGGAGGCTCAAGGGTGGCGAGGCTGGCCGCATGCAAGGCATCCAAGGGGCCACGCTGGTGTTTGTGGGGGCGGATCACACGGCCGTTCAAGGACGTGGCCGCCTTGAGGCCTTTTCCTGGGTTCCTCTGGGTCCCCGCCCTGGGCTGCGCCTCCGCCTAGTTACTGACGACCCTCTCCTGCCCGAGCTAGGTCGGCCGTCTGTGCTGTCCGGCCTGGGACTGAACCGGCCTCGGAGTGGGTGTCGCACCGGCCCCGACGGCTGGTGCCGCTTCCGGGTGGTTTTCGCTCCTCATGGAGCCCAGTGAGGCCGCACGAAATGTCGGAGGCCGTGGAGGCAGGGCGAAACCTGGAGGAGGCACCCAGGCCAGGTGGCTTCCGTGAGCCTGCGGGGCCTGCCGCCGTTCTGCCGGAGCCCTCGGGCAGTGGCCGCCGGGGGCCCTGGTGAGCGGCGGGGAGACTAAAGCTTCCCGAGCCCTCGCGGCGCCCAGGGCCCCTCCCCACCACCAGACACCTATACCCGCCAGCAGCCGTCTGCCGCTGGCCCTGGCGGTTCCCACCCCGGAGCCAACGTCCGCTTCGTATCGCTTCCCGGGTCCGCCGTGGCTCTAGGTGTCCGCCGCTGTCGATTCGGCCCTTGCGTGAGGGCTGAGGGGCTTGGCCGCCGCCGCGCTGGGCTCGAAGGAGGGGCGCCCCTGGCCAGCGTGGGTTCCGCGCCTGCACCCCGCTTCAGGGGCTGGCCTCGGCCCCTCTCCAGTTCACGCGCGTGCCCAGTAACTGCTCCCGCACGGCCGTCGGGGCTGCGCGAGGGTGCAGCCACTGCCTCTCCGTGTTGCCGTGTGTGTGTTCTCCTGGGCGGTCAGTTTCGCGAATGTGGGTTGCCCTGGGGCTGGGGTTCACCCCCCAGCCCCGTGATTGCAGGGGGGCCAATGTGGCTCCCGCCCACCTCCTGCAAGATGCACAGCCCGCGCCTTGGTTTCCGTGCATACTAGGCTCTCCCGTCGTTCTTTGCCTCGAAGACTGAGCCAGGCGTACCAGGTGCGCATGGGCCTGTGGCTTTACCGTGTAGTGCCTCAGGCTTAGACTACCTGGCCCGGCGGCATGCTCCCCGGGGAGTGCCGCTCATTCGAACGTCCTATCAACTTCTGACGGTAGCTGCTGTGCCTGCCATGGTGACAACGGGTGACAGTAATCAGTATTCAATTCCGCCTAGAAGTCGGAGAAACAGTTTATCACATCTTACCACTCCTCACCTGGAGAGGTAGTGACAAAAAATAGGATTCTTCCGAAGTCCTGCAATTGGAATGAGACCCCTTTAATCAAGGATCCTTGGAGGGCAAATCTGATGCCAGCAGCTGCGGTAATTACAGCTCCAATAAGGTGTACGTTGCTACAGTGAGAAAGCTTGTAGTTTGACCCTGGGGGATGGTCTGCCACGATGTGGCCCCCTACCTGTCCCTTGTCCTCGTCTCTTGGTGTCCTCGTGTTTTTGTGGCTTATCCTTGTGGCCTTGTAAGCATTTACTTTGGAAACTATTCAAAAGCAGGCCCTCGCTGCCTGGATACTGCAGCCGGAAGTGATGGAAGAGGGGACTGCCGTTCAAATTTGTTGGTTTGGGGGTGATAAAGTCATGATTAAGAGGTGATGGTTATCGCTTTGGTATTTTGCACCTACTGGTGGAAGACTTGGACTTGTGCAATATGTGGGGGAATTGAAAGCATTTGCTGAGAATGTTTTTGTTAATCACAGCCCAAAGTAGGAGGTTGGAGATGACGTCAAGATGCCCCAGTTCTAGCCATAAACGATGCCGACCGCTGAGGGCATTCCCACGCGGTGGTCATGGCACTTGGTGGAGAGAAGGTTGGTTACTTCCGGTAACTAATGACACTGGCCTGTGCAGTTCTGTGTTCCTTGCATGGCTGATGTCCCCCTACCTCTTGAGGCACGAGTGCTGTGCAGCTAACCGAGGATGAACGACACCGGGTCTGAGACGATGCCCTCCGAGGTCTCGGGCTGCTGCGCCTCGCGGACTGGCTGAGTGTGTGTGCCTTCCCTACCGGCAGGCGCGGGTAACCGCTGACCCCATTCCCGATGGGGCTTGCAGTGCTCCGGTGTGTGCCTGTGAGCCGTTGGGTTTTTGTACACACTGCGCCATCACTGCTGCTGGTTGGACGGCTCAGCGAGGCCCTTGGATCGCCACCGGCTGGCCCAAGTCGTTGGAGAGGGACGGTGGAGGTTGGCGGAAGGAACTAGGGAGTCCCAGCAAGGCTGCTGCTGGGGAAGGATCGGTTCAGGAGAGCGTGCGGGGCGGGCAGTGCGGGCCCTGGTCGAGAGAGGCGAGCGCGCGGGAGGGGTGTGACGCCCGGAGGAGGGGGGCAGGGTCACGGGATCCCCTCGCCCTCCCTCCCATCCAGCGCCCCCCCCAGAGGGCGTGCCGGGAGGCCTCTACCTGGGGGGCGCCGCGCTGTGGGGCTCATTGGAGTCGGGTGCTGGGCCTTCGGAGCCTCGGCTCTCACGGGGTGTGCACTCCCTGGGGGGTTCCCAGTGGTCCGCCAACACGTCTCCCCGCCCTTCCTGCCTCGAGCGTCACCGGGTTCGGGTGCCAGATGCTTGGGAAAGCAAAGCAACTGATGGGTCCAAGTATGCAATGGAGAACGGCCCCGGCGCCAACGCCATGGGGGGCTAGGCGACGCTGCCATGGGCCTGGGTGGTCTCCTGTGCCCTAGGCGGCGACCCTGGGACGGAAGGCTGCGGATTTGCTGTCGGGCCCCTTCCCCGGCCCTGCTGCTGGAGCGTGAGGTCCACTTTCCCCACCTGCTCGTCAGCAAGAAGCGCTGCGCCAGCGTGTTATCCCGGCCACACGCCCCCGAACGCGTGGACCGCAAGGGCTTGGAGGCCGCGCGCAGGAACCAGTGACCCCCAGCGGCCAGCCTCGTCCCGTCTCGCTGCGCCGCCGGCTCGTCGCCCGAGATCCCGAGGGCGCAGCGGCCCATGCGAAGGACGCCACCCGCCCGCGCCCCTCTGGCCGCCGCAGTCCATCCGTGGTGAGGGGCCTGGGCTACGATGCTGCCGGAGGGCTGGACGCGCGGAGCCTGCGCGGCGCAGGCGGATGGGGTGGCAGCGCCCGGTGGACGAGGCCCGCCTCGCGGCAGCGGCCGTAGTCCGGGGGCCGTTCCGCCCCCTCCCCCAGGCGCCTAGTGCGTCCCGGGAGTGGGGGCGGTTGGCCCCCCGGAGAGCCGCGAGGCCGGGGCTCCCAGCCGCATGCACCGCGAGGGCCACCCAGGGCTGTGCGTCCGCGCGGGGCTCCTTGTCTCGGGTAGGTGGGTGCCCTGGGCAACGGCGAAAACGGTGGCGTGTCTCCGCTTCCCCCACGGGGCTGTGGCGGGCGCCCTGCCAGCAAACCTTCCGGCTCCTCGGGGGAGGCAGTAAAACCCGGCCCTTCGCGGGGGCTGGTCGGCTCCGCCGCTGATCGGGAAAACAGCCGGGCGAATCTAAGGGGCGTTGCAGGCCTGTGGCCATCGGTACCCTGAGGGCCCCTGGGCCTCGTTCTAACCTGGGCTCCGCCTGCCTGAACCCCGCTGGGAGGTTAACCCTGCACCACCCCGTTGTGCCTCGCGGCTGTGTGGCGCGGGTCCCTTGCTGGGCCCATTCTGCCCCCGCGCTGGTCCCAGCGGCCAACGGTTGTCCAGGAGGCTGGCTGTCCGCTGTGCCCATTTCCCGAAGCGCGTACACGTTGCCCCTGCTCACGCTGAGTGCCCACACCCTGCCCGCTCCACGGAAGCCGACTTGCAGGAAAGAGGGAAACTTTTTGGCTGTCTGGCCTTTATGAGCCATAAGGTTTATGGAGACGTTGGGAATAACTTTCCATGTAGCTAATGCAGAATCTAATACCGACGCGGAAGCAACTGGAAGGGCTTTTTAAGAGTCCTGTGCCACCTCTTTGAAAAGCGGGTGTCGAGGAAGGTGAGCGCTCCCAGATGCCAGGAGGGGTGGATTTAGGCGTCAGGTTCTAATTGTTATTAACCTACCTGTCAGATAAGAGAGATTCTATTCCTTTGGAGACAGGACCCCACGTCAAATCACCAGTTAGGTTTAGGGTAAACTGTGTAACAAAGAAAAAGGTGAGATTTCTCTCGTCTCTACACTGTCTCCGGTGTATTGTGTTGGGATGTCCATCACATTGTTTTCGTGCTAATTCAATAGCTTTTCTACGTTTGTGGAGATTCGCCAACAGTGGTCAACATAAAATACATTGTCCGAGAGAATCAAGTTATTTTTAATCTAGAATGCTTCAAATTGTGTATAATAGGTAATGGTCAAGTTATAGAGGTAAAACTTTATTTTAAATAGAAATACCACTTGACCCAGTCATTACACTCCTAGGAATTTACCCGAAGAAAACAAGATCCCAGATTCAAAAAGACATGCACCATCCGTTTATTGCGATTCAGGGTTCTGAGATGGGCGTGTCTTTTGTTTGCCCAATGATGTACTTGCAGGTGCCCTTATGGTACTTGGCAGAGGGAGGCAGTATTTGCAGAGGAGGCTGATTTTAATGACCCGCAAAGCAAGATGCTACACTGTTGGGCTTTAATGACTGGGAACCATACTCCAGCCCACTGCAACTGACCAAAGCTCTGGGAAAGGACTTCACTCATGTGCCCCGTCGCGGCAGTAATTTGTGTGCAGCAGCTATATAAAGTTAAGGCAGGTTTTCTGTAGGTAACAGGAGGTGTGACCCTAATTTTTTATGAAAAAAGTACTGCTGGTTTTTTGAAAATTGTTTTGTAGAAGTTAAATGACATTGACACAGGGGGTTTATGTTTATGTGTAAGGGGGTGGTGGTGAGAGAACACATCTAATTAGGTATATGATGAAAAAATATAGGAGCTGGGTTCCTGGCATTTCCAATACATTCCTTTTGAAGGGGGATGAGTCATACAAATGACACAAAAGAACTTTTGGTTTTGTCATCAAACAGTGCACCTTATTTTTAAAGTGAGGTATACACAAAGGTAGTCTTAGTTCTTCAATCCCCAAGACCAGCTCAGGTTTTCACGAGAACTCTCAGAACTCGGCAAAGTTCTATTGTGAGGACACAGGCTGGACAATGTCTGGGCAGAGGCCAGGAGAGCTCCTGTCAGCTTCCTTCTCGGCAGTGCGACATGCTTCAGGAAGCACAGATGACCAAGGCAGTGAGACCCAAGCCTTGGTCCTCTCTCTCTCTCTATATATATATACAAGGAGCCTCTTGTGTGGTGTATCCACCATAAATGACAGTTAGCAGGAAACCACCCAGCCCAAAGTGCCCCCCTGGCACGAAAGAGGCAGAATGCTTCAAGGGCTTGTCTCCCAAGGAGCCAGGCAGGTGCCAAGCCATTCTTTCAGATGTTCAAACATTAGACAACTTTGGCATTTTTTTTACTTACCTCTTCATTGCACAGTAAACTCAAAGTCATTTCTTTCATAATTATTTTACTAATTCCTGTGTTTCTCAGGTTATAATGGTGGTGCCACGACCTCTTGCACACACATCTCTTTCCAAATTCACATTTGATGACTTAATCATGTTCTCTGTGGGAAATTGGCCACAGTTTAAGTATTTAATGAGGGGGAAATGGGAAACAATAGTACGAACAAAGGTGTTTTTATTAACTGTCTACACCTTAAAGTCATGGGGAATTTTAATAGAGACTAAAGTTATGTTGTGGCCTATGTTTCTATTACAGTACAATCTAGTCTTACAGTCATAGGTGCTAGTTGAACCTGAACACCAAAAACCCCAACCCATTAAAAAATGGGAGTGGTTAGTTGATTAGAGGAACAAAAGGTGTTTTATGGGAATTAAAAGAAGTACATCTTCATTTTTTGGATGATTCTCAATAAACTATGTACCCACAAAAGGTGAGTAAAAAAATACAGTAAACAGACTAAGATTCCAATTACCAAGAGTCCAGAAAGCACCAACTGAATATTGAAAAAGTAATCAAATGCCCTGGGAGTTCAGGGAGGAAGGGCCACAAATACAAGAATGGGTACCGGAATTACAATGTTAAAATTGCAAAGCTGCATGTGAAAAATTATAAAGCAATCTCGCCTTTTAACTCTGGAGGGGAGGGAGGCCCTGCTGCACGGAGCAGTGAGCACTGCTAACAGGGTTTCCATTTCAGTTACCAGGAACTCTGCTAGTCACGAAAATCACATGTCTGGACTACGTGTTTCCACTCTCAGTCCCCAGTTGGCATGCCACTGGAGGTGTAAAAGCTTAACCTTTACGCTTGCCAGGGTGTGAGAATTTTGACAAAAGGCTTTATCCTAAACAGTCATTGGGACGTTTCTGGATGCAAATTTAGGATAGACATTCCCCTGTGGTGTGTTAGGCCCCCTACCTGATGCCCAGAGGAATCAGTGACACCAGATGGCTTATATGCCCTCTCTAAAACAGCGGTGGTTCTTACAACAATCCTCTCAGGGGGACCCTCTGGGCCCACAAATTGGCTTCCATTAGATACAAAACTCTGCAGTCTAGCTCCAGCAAACCTTGGTGACTTCTCTGCCACGATCTCTCACTGAGGTGAGGCCTGAGAGAGCTTGTTCGCTTCTTTATCCTCGCAGAGTCCACCTGTTTTCAACATTACCAGCTGACTAGAAGCCCCAAGATAAAAATGGCTTTAATGATTAAGGTCCTTATTGCACAAACCACCCCAAACTGAGCCAAATACTTCCTACAAAGGTTGACGTGGAGGCTAATAAAATCATGAGCAACTCATGAAACCAAAGTGGCTGTGGAAGGTTAGAACCTCAGCAAAATGCAGGCTGGGCTCTTGGTCAGAAGGCTTGTTAGGTGCCCATCCTAGTGCTATGGGGCCAGTCAGATGGGAGAGAATGACAGCACCCCAGGGCTGAGGGCAGGGGACAGCCAGCAGAGCTTATACACTGAGCCGAGGAGGTGGCGTCTATCGTGGAAAGCCTGCTGCCATGTAAAGCGAGCTGACTGAGCAGGTTCAGTACAGTGTAGTTCTAGAAGCTCTGAGAAACCTGTGCTCACAGACAATCTCTCATTAGGACTGTACGGTGTCAACTTCAAGTTGATGCCCCTCTCGGGTTGTGTCAAACATGCAGCTTGTGACCTACCTGCATCAGTCTGTGAGGGCCAGTGAGGCCTTCTCAAGTGTGAACTTTAGCTAAGAGCTTAGACCTTGGACTGAAGGCTTTTCCCCCAGTCACTGCACTCATGAGGCCACATGCTCTAGCATGACCTTTCTCCACATTCAATGTGCTCATACACTAGTGTGAATTCTCTGGTGTTCAGGGAGGCTGAAGCTCTGACTGAAACAACCGCCTACATCCCTTGCACTGTGCGTGCTCCAGCCTGGACTCCGGTGGTTTGAGAATGGGAGCTTTAGGCCACAAGCCACATCCACTTATGCTGGCTGCTGCTGGACAGTAGGTTTGTTGTAGCTGAAGGTTTTCCAACATTCGTTGTACTCATAGGGCCTCTTTCTCTAGTGTGGATGCTGGTGCTGAGAAGTCTATGTGACAAGGCTTCCCTGCATTCACTGCGCCTGATCCAAAGTGACAGTCCTGCACCCTCAGCTGTGGGCAGGCTGGTGCTGGAGGGCCACGGCGGAAAGCCACCTCCTGGCAGGGGAAGGGCTCCTCTGACACACTGACTGGGCAGCTCTGCATGCAGGAGGCATGTCCCGCCCTTTCTGAAGAGTTTCTCTCTGCGGTGCTGCTCCCGGTAACCTGTGAGATTCCCCATACGCTCCACACAGCTTCTGCCCAGGATTTGCTGGTGCAGGTCCTCAGCTAAGATGCAAATCATCTTCTGTGCCCAGTCTACCCATCTTCCAGGAATAGGCCTTCTGGGTAGACAGATACTCCCATGGCATATCCTGCTGAGAAGGTGGCTCATCTCCGTGCCAACAACCTGAAAGCAGAGAAAAATGCTGGTGAACTTCTATGCAGACTACCATGGGAGGAGGCAGCCTCAGCATAAAGGGTGTGTCCGACCCACCAAGGAATACAACAGATGCCTGGCAGCACGCCGAGGGAGGGAACGGGGCTGTGCCTGAGTATCACAGAACAGGGAGGTCACCAGGCAAGGAGAGGCAGGGTCCAGGGGCCTGCCGGACCCACATGTACAGGGTGGAAGGGTGTGCCCGAGCCAAGAAAATCCAACAAAATCGAACTGTCACTGAGAACTGGTGTTCAAGAACTATTTTAAGGATAGGTACAGATTTCACGACACATTAAGTATGTAGGCCACCCTGGAGAGAGGAGCAGGGAACCGTCAGTGGTGGAAGACAGAAAGGTGGTGGAACCCGGGTCACTTCTAAGAGTGGAAATGATGTGAGCAAAACGACAGGGTGGGGAGGACGGAAACGACATACACAGCAAGGGGCATTTGCATTAAAAACAGTATTGGACATAAGACATGGTCCTGCTGATCTTAACCCAACATCACATGGTCCCTCATGACAACCCCCAGGGGCCAGTCCTCCCCAGCTCCAGGGGCACTACACGGGACCCCAGGACCTCGAGATGCCAGGTCTAAGGCACCAACCCCGAAACAACCTCGGGAAATAACATCCTATAAATAATGACCAGGACCGTGCTGGGCTCCTGCAACCCCATGAGCCCCAGGAGCTGTCATCCGGGAGGGGCGGAAGCTGGAGCAGAGGGGCGTGGTTCCTAAGGAGCTGTCAAGGCACATGGCACCCACCGGCCTAAATTCTTAGTCTCTTTTACCTGTAAAACCTTCCAGTGCTGGTATTGTATAGGGGCTCACAGTACTTACACAGGAGGTATAGTATACACGACACCGTAGGCACCCAGGAAAATGGGGAGGCAGAGCAGCCCCGGATGCTGGGGGTGCGAGAGGGCCTTACCCAGGGGCTGCAACAAGTGCAGGGAGTCTCTGGGCTTCATCCCCTGGGAGAGGTACACAGCCGCATCATCAAAGGTCAGAGAGGCCTGGGATGATGGGGGACAGTTATGCCCCCAAAAGTGGCCTCTCTCCTGGGGACCCCACAGGTTACAACACTCCCATGCCCTTCATCACTGGGTTTGACCCTCAGCAACAGTGGAGGGTGGGGCAGATATCATCTAAGCTCCAAGCCTGGCGTGCAGAGCCCCATCCCTCCTGCAGGACAGCCTCAGGGAGCCCTGCATCATGCCTCCCAGATACAACCTTTCTCAAAGTCCTACTCATTGGTCCGTATCTTCATCATATATTTGGCCCATAAAACTGGTATTTCTCTGGTCTCTCACACACCCTCTGCATATGGATCCAGAGCGTGTTTGGCAAGTGGACCAGGCCCCACTTCGCCCCCCCCACACCTCCAACTTAGTCCTGCTCAGAAGGCGTCCGTTCCACCTGGCCTTGTTTCTAGCTTCAACCTTAGTCACCCAAAACCCAGAACAGTGACTGGCAGCAGCCTGGCTTCATATTCCCCTCACCTCCAGTGCTCGTTGCCTCTGCGTCTATACCCATGGTTACTGCCCTGTGAAACCTTGCCGCTTGCTGCGACCGTCCCTGTCACCACTGTTATTTCTTGTCCATCTTTTTATACACCAGATGCCACATTTTCTAATGTCTCCATCCTGAAGCCCTCCCTAGACATGCACGTGCAGCTGGCCACTCGTGCACTACACTTGAGAGAGTCTCAGGAACACAGGAGACTACTCAGCACAGCCAAAAACTGAAATCCTAACAGTCTCACTGAACGAGTAGCCTGTACGAAGAAAACTGGTCAGTCCCACTTTAAAAACAAACCCAGAAGCCCAGTATTTCTCCTGCCTCCACATCTACTATGTCCAACTGGATGATGCAGTGGCCTCCTTAGCGGTCTTTTCTGTCTCCAGCCTATTGTTCTGAACTCTGCAGCCAGGGCATAACCTGTTAGAAAAGACCTGAGTCACATCACTTTTCTCCTGCTCCAAAAACTCCATAGCTGCCACAAGGAAACAAAAAGACGGACAGAACACCTGGACGCAAACAACACCCTTCTAAATAAGAATGAACAAATTAAAACAGAAATCAAGTTCAACAGCCCGTGGGACACAGCAAAGGCCTACAAGGAAAGTATGTAGCAACAGGCTTACCACAAGAAATCCAAAATGAACAGTCGAAAATCACAAAGAAGCTAGAAAAAGAACAAATGAAAATCCAAAGTCAGTTGCAGTAGGGAACATAATAAAGAGCAGAGCAGAAATAAAGAAAAAAAAAGCAACAGAAAAAAATCAATGAAACCAGTTGTAGGAACTGTGGGAACTACAAACTAGTTGGGACCCTGAGACATGGGGCGAGAAGCAGCTTTATTGGTATCGGCACTGGTTCAGCGGACTCATACCCAAAGGTTGAGCCCGAGCACAATGGGGCCGTGTCTTCTATACCTTTACTACAGGGTTAAAGAAAAACAGTGTTTCCTTGTGTTGTGGGTTAACTGGTTACAGAGTCAGGATGAGATATATCGTTGGCATCTCTATACTGTACTCCAACAATGCTACGATGCTGGGAAGCCCCCTGCTTCCTGGGTTAAAAAAACTTCATCCTTTTCTTGGGCTTCCTACCTCACCAGGCCATGGTTCTTTGAGAAAAACATTTAGAGAGCTAAATACCCATTTCTTAAAGCACTGCAAAAAGTAAAAGAGGAGGGAATGCTTCCAAAGATATTACAAAAAAGAAAATTACAGGCCAAATACTCTGATGAACATAGATGCAAAAGTCCTCAACAAAATATCAGCAAACCAGAAAGATCAAGTGGGATTTGAATGCAAGGAAGGTTACAATATTTGAAAATCCATCAACATCACACACCACATCAACAAAAGGGGGAAAAAGCATTTGACAAAATTCAACATGCATTCATGATAAAAACTCTTAACAAGGGTGTAGAGGGCAAGTATTTCAACATAATAAAGTCCATATATAACAAACCCACAGCCAACAATCATACTTAACAGTGAAAACAACCCTCACCATTTTTATTCAAATCCTAGCCACAAAAGTCAGACAACTCAGAGATAAAAGGCATCCAAAGAGGTAAGGAAGAATTTAAACTCTATTTGCAGATGGCAGATTTACACATAACCCTAAAGACTCCACCAAAAAAAAAAAAAAAAAACAAAACAAAACAACTAGCATAACTGAATTCAGTAAAGTTGCAGGATACAAAATTAATACACAGAATATGTGGCATTCCTATACACTAATGATGAATTAGCAGAGAGAAATCAGGAAAACAATGCCATTCACAACTGCATCAAAAAGAATAAAATACCTAGGAATAAACCTAACCAAAGAAGTGAAAGACCTATACCCTGTCATTAGAAAAACTAAAGAAGACATCCCATGCTCATGGATAGGAAGAATTAATATTGTCAAAATAGCCATACTGCCTAAAGCAATCTACAGATTCAATGCAATCTCTATAAAAATACCAATGAACTAGAACATATAGTTCTAAAATTCATATGGAACCACAAGACCCCAAACAGCCAAAGCAATCCTGAGAAGAATAAAGCAGGGGGGGATCATGCTCCCCAACTTCAAGCTCTACTACAAAGGCATAGTAATCAAGACAATTTGGTACTGGCACAAGAACAGACCCAAAGACCAGTGGAACAGAAAAGAGAGCCCAGATATAAACCCAAGAATAAATGGTCAATTAATATATGATAAAGGAGCCATAGACATACAATGGGGAAAGGACAGCCTCTTCAACAGCTGGTGTTGGCAAAACTGGACAGCTACATGTCAGAGAATGAAACTGGATCATTGTCTAATTCCACATACAAAAGTAAACTCGAAATGGGTCAAAGACATGAATGTAAGCCATGAAACCATAAAAACTCTTAAAAGAAAACATAGGCAAAAATCTCTTGAATAGAAGAAACATGAGAACCTTTTTCCTAAACACATCTCCTCGGGCAAGGGAAATAAAAGCAAAAATGAATTAATGGGACTACATCAAGCTAAAAAGCTTCTGTACAGCAAAGGACACCATCAACAGAACAAAAAGGCATCCTTACAGTATGGGAGAATATTTTGTAAATGACATATCCAACAAGGGGTTAACATCCAAAATATATGAAGAACTCACATGCCTCAATGACCAAAAAGCAAATAACCCTATTAAAAAATGGGCAGAGGATATGAACAGACACTTCTCCAAAGAAGAAATTCAGATGGCCAACAGGCACATGAAAAAATGCTAATTATCAGGGAAATGCAAATTACAATCACAATGAGATATCACCTCACACCAGTTAGGATGGCCAACATAGAAAAGACAAAGAACAACAAATGCTGGCGAGGATGCAGACAAAGGGGGACCCTCCTACACTGCTGGTGGGAATGTAAAATAGTTCAACCATTGTGGAAAGCAATATGGAAGTTCCTCAAAAAACTAAAAATAGAAATACCATTTGACCCGGGAATTCCACTCCTAGGAATTTACCCAAAGAAAACAACTTCTCAGATTCAAAAAGACATATGCACACTTATATTATTGCAGCAGAATTTACAATAGCCAAGATATGGAAGAAACCTAAGTGTCCATCAGTAGATGAATGGATAAAGAAGATGTGGTACATATACACAATGGAATACTATTCAGCCATAATAAAGAAACAAATCCTACCATTTGCAGCAACACGGATGGAGCTAGAGGGTATTATGTTCAGTGAAATAAGTCAGGCAGAGAAAGACAAATACCAAATGATTTCCCTCATTGTGGAGTATAACAACGAAGCAAAACTGAAGGAACAAAATAGCAGCAGACTCACAGACTCCAAGAAGGGACTAGGGGTTATCAAAGGGGAGGGGTTGGGAAAGGAGGGAGAAGGGCATTAACGGGCATTTTGATTAGCACTAACAATATAGGTAGGTCACAGGGAAGGCAGTACAGCATGGAGAAGACAAGTAATGACTACAGCATCTTACTACACTGGTAGACAGTGACTCCCTGGAGTGTGGGAGGGGGTACCTGATAATATGGGTGAATGCTGAAACCACAATGGTGCTCAGGTGAAACCTTCATAAATTAAAAAAACATTGAAATGCGTATAAAAAAAGTTTTCCTGAGTTTAGCAACAATCCTAAACATTTACATGGCAATATTTGTGACCATGAACACTTTCTTAACTATCTATAATAATAAAAAAATATATTCCCATTTTCTCTATGGAAACAATTACAGAACTGTCCCAAGATAGAGGTAATCAAAGAGTATGCAGCCAATAATACAGAAGAAAAGTACCATAGAGGTGAACTGGGCTGTAAATTTTTTAAATGTTATATTATTTTTCTGGGAAAAAATGGGCAGATCATACCTTGATTATACGAAAAATGAGAGAGTGAGAAAACCCAAACCCTATCTAGTGAAGATGAAAGACTTCTCAAGAAAAAAGGGTGCAGGATTATAAACAGAATGTTCACAGTGCTAAAAGACTCAGAATAAAGAAAAACCTTGGCACATGCCTTAGAAATGTTTCCACATAATGAATACCAGGATGAACAGGTTGGAAAATATTCAAATAAGAGAAGATACCAAGTCAGCGAGGTCCGTGAATAAGTATGGAGAGAGTAAGAAAATCTGTTTTTCATTGATAAAAATACTTTTCACCCGTCCCTCTCCCAATCTTCATTCTTAACAGTATTAACTGCTGTTGCTGCAGTACAAATGACTACGAGAGTTTGCTACAATAGTTTTTTGAGTAGGGAGAAGCTAGTAAGATTCAAGTGTAAAAACCCCTAGTACTTTGGATTGGAGAAAAAGCCATTTCTGAAAAACCACAAGGTTATAAGTGAAGAGTAAAGAGAAATCTTTTTAAAATACAACATGAGAGCATTCACTCTAAGAGGAATCATGACATTAGAAAGCTAGATAAAGAAGCAGGGCGCTATTCGCACAGTCGCACAGAACTAGGGTTAAACTACAGAGCTTGCTTTATGGCTGCAGTGGTGTTACACAGAATTAAAAAGGCAGCTTTTAAATTGTTTGGGGGTAAAATACAAATTTACACCTCTGTTAATGCACAAAAAGTCACATCTCTTACAAGTTATAAGAAAGTACCAATAACAGCACAGATTACTCAAACCAAAGATAAACAAAGCAATAAAGACATGTAAGATATACAATAAATCCAACTACAGTAAAGATAAAGGGCTCCCATTATCATAAGAACTGCAACGGCAAGCCACACAATTGAAAACAGGCTGATGAAACCACTTGTTAAAAAAAGTTCATATATAGGATAAGTAAATGATTTAAAAACACAAACCCTATTACTTAACTTGTTCGTACACGGCAAACAAAACACTTTAGAAAATGGTAATCGGAAAAAAACGCAAAACTCATATATTGCAAAAATTCGGTAAGGCTGGTACACATCGCTGTGTTAAACTGCAGAAATGAGTAAATATCGTAAGCTACTACTGAGTGTATAGACTGGTAAAATTTTGCAAAATTAGTATGACATTATAAAATACATTAAGCCTTTGACTACTTGGTAAAAAAATTCCTATCTTTAATATACACGGTGGACAACTGCGTGCTTATACTCCCCAGAACACATGGCAGCTACAGTAGCAATGTTAGTGCGGAAAACATGCGCAAAAACAGACAGTTCACTCCTACTCATACCACAGAATACTATCGCAAAAATGAGTGAATGAAATGTATAGACGCGAAATGGGTAAAAGCACGATATACTGTGCAAACGAAGTAAAAACACATCATAATCCTTATGATTTCATTAATGTAAAGTTTAAAAACAGGCGGAATCAAATTACGTTCGTCGAGTATCTCCCACTCAATTGCACATTCTAAGTTCTCTGCACTTTCCTTCATATATTTCACAATTTGTAAGACCAAAATGACTGGGGTAAATATAAATAAATGGAGACTTACATTAAGAGGACATGCAAAAGAACAAAAGTATGAAGCTTGGAAGCCGAGTAAGAAGAGCTGTGTGAGGGCCCGCAGGACCCAGCCCTTTACCTCAAACGGAGCCCGCCGGAGTCAGTGGGCGGGGCGGGGCCGGGAGCAGAGGTACCAGGCTCCGTGTCCGCAGGCCGGCCCAGCAGCAGAGCAAGCCCGAGTGATGCCCGCTGGGCCCGCCACGAGCCTTCGACCCGCCTCAGAGCAGCGGGCACGGCGGTCTCCCGCCCAGGCCGGCCCAGGACTCCGACGGCTGCCGCACGCCGCCTTTCCAAGTTCACAAAATGCCGCCGGAAGAGAACGCCGGAAGGCCCGCCCAGGCGCCGTCGTCTCGCCCGGAAATGCCTCTGCTGAGCCCTCATTGGCCCAGTGCTGCCGGCGCAATGCCTTCCGGGTAACGTAGTTCTGACGCTCTGCGGGCTCCTCATCCCCAGGAGTGGCCGAGCAGGAAGGTGAGGGGCGCTGCGGCAGGACTCGATGCTCTGAGGACGGGGCGCCGCTTCACGCTTCTTAAAGGGAAATCACCCAGATTGCTGTGGACTGTTGTACCCCAAAGCCACAAAACCAAATGGGCACGAGTACCATATTGTCACTCAGAATCCACGTGCGTCTACTCGTAGCTGGGATCTGATATTCTTATTGCTCTTCAAATACTTGTAAACTGAAGCTTTAGGACCAATCGTATTAATTCACGGGGTTAGGTCGGGGTCAAGAGAACAGGCTCCAGACAGGGTCCTTACGCCACAGCGACAGAGAGGATACAGGGCAGCACGAAACAGGTGGACAGCGCGCTCTCTGGTTCTCTCCGGAAGAAGGTAGAACCACTGATTATGTCCGGCTGAGGGATTGAGGCATACTTCTTACTCCATGTATTTTTTGGAATCTAATAACTATCTGAAAAGACCAACTTACTGGTGAGGGTCTTCTTGTTCATGGAGTCGAAGAATGAACTTTGCAAACACTCAAGGTAGGAAAGCAAGGGGAGACTTTCATTTGGAGATAAAGTGACAGGACAGAGCCCCTGGCGCATGCCAGGACGGGACAGGAGAGTCCGTAGTCGGGCGTTGTCTAGGGCTATATATTCTTTAGGTTTAACTGAGGTGTTATTATTGGCCCCAGCCTGAATGCTGCTTTATTTTAACCAATCCTGCTGAAAATTGCCTATATTCCTAATGTGTTATTTCTATCTTAAAGAATTTGTGTGACTGACTTTGCTTAATGTTGAACACAGAGTTTCATAGGAGTTTCTATGCACATTGCTAGTGTTCTGACCGTAATTATCCTGTTTTGCTTCTTTTGGAGGACCTCACCCTACTCTGTCTAAACCCACAGTCCCTGTCTAAGGGGCATCTGAACCCCACGGCATGATTTTTTCTTGCTGGGAAATAGAATTTCACCTGCAATTACAATGACAATGCATGGGAAATTGTTTCAGAAAAGTATTTGTGAAATGTTGCAATTATGGAAATCAATTATTACAGTAATGCAGTTAGTGACCAAAATAGCTCTTGGCCATGGGAACAAGGTTAGGGTCTCACTGAAGTCTGAGATGTGAGGGAATGAAGCTGTGCAAGCGGTCACCCTGGCTAGTCTCGTTATGGCTATCTAAATTATGGTTTATTATTTTTCAAAATCGCTTTTGAGTACACTGACCAACACCAGATTGAAGGGTGATGTCAAATGGTGTAAAGAGAGCAGACAGCTTTGCCAGCATGCTAAAATCCCGCAGCAGTGCTGGGAATATGGAGCACCTTCGGAGTACAAATGACCAAATTCATGCTGCTGTCAAATGCAAGGAAGATTGCCAAGGCAAACAGCCCTATCCTCAAGCTGCATCCAGAGTGTAAGATTTGGTGCATGCCCTACCTGCAGTTCCAGACCTCGTGTAGCATCGCAGACTGAGCCATACCTGGACTGAGGGTTGTTGATGATTCTCCCAGTTCCTTGAAACACACAAAGTAGAGGCCCAACAAAATCCACTCTACCCATTCAGTCTGGCAGAATCCAAACCACACTGTAAACACAAGCCCAAGAGTATATGTAGCTTAAAGAATCAGATCTTTTGTTACCAAAGCCAGCAGGGTGAGCAGGGAGTTTCTTTGTTGGGTGACCTGGGGGCTGGAAAATGCACAACATGCATCACGAGATGATCATGCCCTGAAGAGAAACCCCTGTAAACTCCCCGTTGAAGCCAGATGGAATCTGCTTACTGAAAGCTGGGTAATCTCCACACCCAAGCTGGTCAGTGGGGAGGGGACGAGGCCTTGCCAACCCTGATGCATATTCCCTGATGCTATGCGAGAGCACAGCAACCTGCTCTCCCTGAGCACTTGAGAGACCTCGGTGAAACATACACACCATGGTTCCTTGCCAGCTGGTAGAGGATATCTTCTGTGAGACACTGGCAGTGACACAGCTGGCAAGGGCCCTGGGCCTCAGGCAGGTCTGAAAGTGCAACATAAGTTCATGAAAGCCCCCCCCCCACCCATGGCAGTGCTGCCTTCCTAGTGTGCAGGTCTGCATATAGGGGTGCAGTTTCAGGCTGCTATTGCACTCACACAGGCTAATCTCCAGTGCTTAGCTCTGTTTGCATTACTGTGTTGAAAAGGAAAGGGCATACCGCCTGTACTCCTAGGGTTTATTTCCAGTGGGAACTTCCTGGTGCTGAGTGAGGACAGGCTAATGGCTGAAGACTGCCCAGCACTCACTCACCTTCTGGGTGTGGAGATGCTTTATAAGATTTTCAAGTTCTTTTTTGATGGGGGTTCACGACACAACACCAGTTGGATAGATGAAAGGCAACACTCTGTAACTTACAGGGAGGAACAAGAAATCAGGCCCAGCAGGAGGTTGCAGTGAGGGGCAGCAGCAAGCTGGAGCTCAGTGGAGCAGCTAGCTCTCCAGGGAGCCCCGTGGATTGAATAATTTCTCAGGTTCCAAGGCACAGAAGCTGTCCCTGGTTTTCTAGTACCCAACCCCGGGGTGATCAGGACAGGTATATAGTGGCCCAGAGTGTGACAGCCCTATAAGGGAAGTTTTGGTGGATGTGGTTAATCAGCTGCTCCCAAAGAAGACATGACTGGCCTCTTGA